GATGTTCGGGTGAGGAGGAGCCACCGCCGCCGTCGCTGCTGCCGCCGCCGGGTGAGGAGGCGGCACCGCTGCCTCTTCTGCTGCCGCCGCCGCCGCCGCCGCCGCTCCGGTGCCGGTCCGGTTCCCGCTGCAGCCGCTGAGCCTTTCACGGCAGCATCCTCATGGGCCGGCGGCGGGGGGTCTTTATCCCCCTCCCGGGGGAAGCGGCGCCCTTCTCGGGAGCGGGGCTCAGGCGATGCCGGCGGATTTTCTTCACTCAACGAGCAGAGTAAGAGACAACTGCATTGACGCCATGATGGAACTTCCCTAATTGTGCTTCTAAGGTTACTGGAATGTAAATGTTTTTAAACCCTCTGATTTTCTATACAGAATAGCAATTTAAACCCAGTACTTAAAACTCGCCCGGGACTAATGTCCACAAAACAACTTGCAATGTATAATTCTGTAAATAAAATCACTGAGAGAAACTAAAGTGTAGAGTTTCTGATTTTCATGATCTCAACAACTGCAGGCATTGCAAACTCAAGTGCCCAGAGGGACACAAATATGAATCGAGAGAGGCTTGAGTTGTTAAAAAGGGATATTTCGTGATCTACCTTAAAAGCATTCAAATTAAACAACCACACACAAGCAGATCAAGGTGATAGTAAACAAAACACTTCTCTGTGCTGAATTTGGCCAGTGGCAGCTGGTGTGCAGCTTTAATCTCTCTTTACATCCAATAATTCAGTCGTGGTCATTGGGCATTTACATTTCTGGGGCAGAAAGAAGTTTAACACACCAGAGACAAGTCCTGGGCATATCCTTAATATCATAACACTTCTTGCTCCCTCCCCAGCAATATTTGGGTCCTGGCCAGGATTTCTTATGTGTATTAACTGAGATAGCAGATGTAAAGCATTACATTTAGTGTCAACAGGTGATTCTTCTTTCTAATACTGAAAATTTCCCTTCTCATTTTCCAGTTCCTCTATTTAGCACTTCTTAAAATAAAATTACCTTTTACTTGGTTTCTGTTTCACTGCCACCTCACTTCTGAACATGCTCCAAATTAAGATTTAGATTATTGTGGCCTTTAGATATTGTACTGCAGCAATGTCTGTTACTTTCAGACTACATTTGTCTTCAAGGAGTTACTCTTTACTAAATCCCCACCACTAATCACAAGCCTTACATTGCTGACTACCCAGAAAACCGTGCACCTAATTTATAACAATCACAGCTAAATTCTGCCTATTAATTAAAACAATAAATTACATTTTATACATTTTGATGTAGTGTGTACCATACACCTTTTAGATACTTCTAGCATAATTCCGTGTGCATTGAGTAATATGTGTGGTTCCATTCTTATACATAGTAAGAATATATAGTCCTCTCATGCAGTGTTTCTCAAATTTTAATGCACATACAAATCATTTGGGGATCTTGTTAAAATGAAGGTTCTGATTCAGTGGGGCTGGGGTAGGGCTGAGATTCTCCATGTCTAACATGCTCCCAAGTGATGTCAGTGCTGTTGATCTGTGGTTCACACTTTAAGTAGCAAGGATCTTAGGGACAAAATTTGCCAAGGCGGTATCATGTAAGGCAGTGGCTTTCAAATAGAGGTGCATAGGAAATGCCTGGGCAGCTTTTTGTAATCACTGATAATTGATCCCTTCCCTCCCCAGTGGGGAGTCTGATTTAGTAGGCCTGGGTTGGGGCCAGTTATATCTACCCCTCCAATTCCCCTAAGTAGTTTTTTTTTTTTTTTTCTTTTTGTCTTTTTTCCGTGTCCGGCAACGGACCGCAACCCTCAGTGTCGCGCCCGTACCGGACCAGGACCGGCAATGGGATCGCAACCCTTGGTGCTGCACCCGCCCCTCGCTCAGCCAGTGAGCGGGAACCGGTCTGTATGTGGGATCCGAACCCTCGGCGGGAGCGCCACCGCACTCCCAAGCAGCGCACTGTAGCAGTGCGCCACCCCCCTAAGTAGTTTTTACGTTCATCAAAGTTGGAGAACCAGTAGTAATATAAACAATTTTTATTTGCCCATGATAGTCTCTCCCAGAACTCTTAGGACATCACATACAAAGCAGCCATAAGAATAGTAATCAACAATAATGTCGATAAAGTCATATTAACTTCATGCCTGGAATATGCTTCTACTCTCCCTAAGGGCAGTGACTCTATTAGCCCGTTTTAGTATTCTTCATTTCATGACATTTCTTGAGAACAGTAGATATTCAATGTCTTGGAATCTAATTAAAAATGCAACCTGATCTCCTAAAAATGACATTTATTTTAATGATCTCTATTTTTCTTGAATAAGTATTTGTCAACATAATGTCCTTTGAAATCTTACAACTATAGAAGGTTGTTGATAGAGGGGAAAAATAATTTGTCTTACTATATCTGCAACTTTGGGTGAGTCTATAGTCATTTTTGCTGAATCATTTTATTAACCTTAAGTGATTTAGCCTTGGTTACATTCTTTGATTGTAAAAAAAAATGAGTATATGGAATTGAAGAATTTGATTAGTTTCAGTGATTTATTCAATTCCTGAAGAAAAGGTAATTCATATAACATCAAAAAGCTCAGCTTCTCAGTACCCCACAAATAGGTATAATCAGTTATGTTTCAATTAAAAAAAAGCTCAGCTGGGCTTATGTAGCTTTATTTTTACTTTTTCAGCTTATTAGGATATGAAAGAATTAGGTCACTTACATGAGTGAAGGGCAGGAATAACGATCTCATGGTAGTAATGATATAAGACACTTTTTAGGAAGCAGAGCTTTAGAAAGACTTCGGTGGTAGGACACTTGGCATGGAAACAAGAGCCCTATAATCAGAATCAAAATAATGGGGTAATATGACTTTCAATGGAGTCATTCTGAGGTATCTAGTTGGAAGTTAACTAGGAGGTGCTTTTATGCTTAGGAAATCAGGCAGTGACAGTTCTTTTGTGATGATAGGTTTAAATTATAACTCTGCTTGTATTAAAAAAAAAAAATTCACTATGTGGTCTAGGTCCCTTTCCAAGTTCTATGATTTCATCCCTTTATTTATGCACATGTGTCTATTATAATTCATACCAACTAATTTAATGATATTCTCAATGGCAATGACTGTATGTAAGAAAGATTATATGATATCTTACAAATTGTTAAGCAATTTAGCATGATTGTAATTAAGTACAACTTTTATCTGTAATGTTTTGGTAATAACTTGGGTGAAACATTGACACTATTTTCACTGGAAATGTGTGTCAATGTAATTATATTTCCATATTAATTTCTTTGCTATTATAAAGGAAAATAAATGCTGAAGTATGTTCAAAGTTCACATCTATGTACATCTTTGACTGCTGATATTTATCTACTCAAAGTCTTTTAAAAGATTTAATTGTTAGAACTCCTTTAAGCATTGAAAATGTGTTAATTCTGTGTTCATTGGTAACAATTGTATTTTTTTTTAAATGAGTAGGCTCTTCTGTTATCTTAGAAAAGAAGAAAAAATGAATTAGTTTTAATATCAATATAACTGACTCTTAAAGACACACACACAAAAATCACAGTTAACATTTGGATTGTGAAGGTCCTAATTAATATATAAAAGCACACTATGCTTTATGTAAATTATCATGGCTTATCATTTTGGAAAATAATTCTTTTTTTAAAAAAAGAATGTGTATAGTTTTTAGGATTTTCAAATTTGTGGTCTAATATAAAAGCTCTAAGAAGTTTTGTGGCATATTACCAGTGAATGTGTGAGATAAATAATGTTAAGTCAACCCACTTTCTAATCTGTACTGACCTTGGTCTTTTCCTGTGGATAGACATCTATAAATGATCATTTGCATATCTAGGCCCTCCTGCAGCCAAATGTTGTCCATCACTTGAATAATCTGCAGAACAAGCATATCCTGACGAAGATCATCTCCAGCCTGTTAAAAACAAAATTATAGACTGGGTTTTTCCTTGAATTCCATTAAAAGCACTCAAATATGGTATATGTCATTTCTTTCTTTAGATAAATTTTCACCCTGACTTGTGGTTGTTTCCATAGTTTTATTAGCACTAAAAATGCATTGTGTTTCTGATAAAAAAATCAAAGAAAATGAGAACTTCCCTTTAAATAATTACAGAAGCTTCAGACATCAAATTAGTAACACTAATGCTGTTTCCCTGATAATAATCTTTCAACTTATTATCCATGTGCAATTTCTGAGATTCAAAGTCTAGAGAAGAGAGGCTAGACGAATGTTTACCCAAATTTCAAATGCAGCCAAGATAAATCTCTTGCTAGGTGAAGCATTATTTGGTATGCCATAAATTTTTGCACTAATATGCAGTTAGAATACCAAAAACTTCATGACTAGGAGCATAGCACACACATAATTCACCAGACTTTGAATCAGTGATTTATTATGAAGGCAGTTAAAGTTTTCATAGAAAACAGTCTTTGACAATAATAAGAAATGATAAAGGGATGATTTTCTAGCACAGGTGAAGAAAATGGAGTATGTCTGAAGGGGAAGTATAGTTTTATGCTTTTAAACAAGTAAGTAGTTTTGTTTCCAAAATGCTTTCCAAATTATATGCAGAAATTCCTGCCAAGATGAGATTTTATTTTATTTATTTCTTCATTAAAAATACAGTGTCATGGAACCATAATGCTTGAGGTTACACAGGTCAAAGCAAAAGTAAGGGCATGCTAATCATTATTCTCAAAAATAGATAGTTAGAATCCACCAGAAATTTACCATGAGAACTTGTTGCATGACTTGGCAGAATAATTGATTAAGTTAACTAGATGACTAGCAAATTCTTACCTTTTACTTATTGCTCCCTCTGCAGTCTCTATTTCCTGCTGTTTGTAACCCTCTTACTACCTTTTACTCTATTTTTTTCCATGGGAATCATGATGAAGACTGAAATGGCCCATATTTAGTTTTTATTTAAAATGAAGAAAATAACTCAAATTACTAAAATAGGCAAGTGCTTGCAGATAAGAATTTGATATTAAATTAATGCATGTCATTTGAATTCCATCTAATTTTGATCCTAATTCAGTATCCAGGCCAAGAGAAAACTCTCCTTCTAGGGATTCATCACACATTCCACTTTCTGTGCCACTCAAAAGTGATCGTATAATTTCATTTATTGAAACATGTTCTCTTAAGTTTTGCACTGAAGGTTTCCTGGCTTTGAGTGAGTAATGTTCGATTTATTGCCAATCATAGTTTGGCATGTACTATAATTCTGTAAAAAGCAGAATTGAAAATAACTGGAAACCTCTGTGTTGTTGCCAGAGGAAAATAGCTACAATAATTTCTTCTTGTGAGTAATAAATCAATAGTTCTGCCTATGGAGTCAATTTGACGTTTTAAGAGGGTTACCATACCTTAAAAATGATGCTGATGTTTTTGCCCATTGGATTAGCATTGATGAAAGTAATCTTTAATGGCAAAGCATTAGATGTGAAATATGAACATGCCTACAGGAAGATAAGAGAAAAATAGTTAGCAAAATAAAGTAAAGAGAACTCTTTACTCAAGATCATGACCCCTTACAGAATTTGTTATATAAGCAAATGTGACACATATAAATAAGTTTTATATTTTGGAAAAAAAGGAACCTATTTATTTTTTTAAAATACAAAACTAGTCTATCAACAAAGCCTTTACTTTGAAACTGAGATGCCAGCCTTTAGGGCAGGTTGTAAATGTTCAACTACATTTTTTCCTCACTGAACAGTAGTAATATGCTCAAGGTTTAAATAACTAAGCAGTATGTAGGTATTGTGCTTATGCTAGTTGGTTAATAGACAAAATTGCTATTTTAAAAAATTTATTTTCTTTCATTTTTTTTCTGCCCTGCAGCATACTTGAAAGAAACATGGACACAGAGTTAAGAAAGACCTGAGTTCAAATGTGAACGCTGAGTTTATTAGCTTTGAGACCTTGGGCAAGTTAATTAACATGTCTGTATCCCACTGTAAAAGAGAGATAACAATCCCTCACACATTTTTGTAATGGACATATGAACAAATGGATATAAAATGCCTTTTACAGTTAAAAAATTAATACATTTCTCTTGGCCTTTTTGTTAATGAACACTTTCTTTTCTTGTCTTTACAAATAACAGTACAACAT